CGGTCAGGATGAGGGTGAGGTTGAGAGTCAGGGGGAGGGTCAGGGCTGGGGTTTGGGAGTCAGGCTGAGTGTTTGGTCCAGGTTAGAATCAAGGTGAGGATGAGGGTTAAGGTCATGGAGAGGTTAAGAGGGTGGTTTAGGGTGAAGGTGGGGTCACAGTGAAGTTCAGGGTAACTTAGAGTCAGGCTGGGGGTGAGGGTCAGTGTTGATTTAGGATCAGGGTAGGTCACAAAGAGGGTCAGGATCAGGTGAGAACAGGAGCAGAGTAAGTGTGAGGGTCAGCACGAGAGTGAGGTCAAGGTCATGTCAGGGTAAGTGTCTGTTTTAGGAATAAGTTCAGGGTAAGGATGAGTGAAAGGTGGAGAGGGAGTGTGAAAGTGAAAATCAAGTGTGATTCAGGTCCAGTATGAGGCTTACGGTCAGGTTTAGGGTGAGCATCCGGGTCATGGTGATGTTCAGAGTCAGATTGAGGATAAAGGTCATGTTCAGGGTCAGAGAGTGTTAAGGTGAAGATGAGTGTGAGGTTCAGGATCTGGGGGAGTATGATAGATTGAATTTGAGGGAGTCACTCATGATCAGTATCAGTGTCAAGGTCAAGGTCATAGTTACGGTTAGGATGAGTGATTGTCAGGGTCAAAGAGAAAGTCAGGTTTAGTGTGAGAGTCAAGGTCATGGTGAGGGTCAATATATTTGTGAGTGTGGGAATTATCGTCAGAGTGTGAGTCTGAATCAGGTTCACGGTGAGAGTCAAAGTCAGATCAGGGTCAGGTTGAGAGTAAGGTTGGTTTAGAGTCGTGCTGGTGAGGATCTGAGTGAGTATAAGTGTCAGGACGAGGGGCAGGGCAGGGCCAAGGTGAGGCTGAATGTGGGAGTGATGTTTAGTTTCAGGGTCAGTTTGAGGTTCAAGGTAAGGGTCAGGGTGAGTTTGAAGGGGATAGACTGGGGCAGGGTGAGGAGAGTCTGTGGTGAAGATAAAGGTCCTTATGAGAATGAGGATCAGGGTGAGGATGAGGTTGAGATTGAGAGGATGAAGATCAGGTCTAGTGACAAGAGTCAGCAAGAGGGAGAGTCAGTGTCAGCATCAAGGTCAGGGTCAATGTAGGGTTCAGGTTCAGGGACCCTGTCAGGGTCAGAATCACCGTTAGAGTCAGTCTTGGGGTCAGGGTCAGCGTGAGGCTCAATGTTAGAGTGTGATGGTTAATCTTAGGTGTCAACTCGACTGGACCATGGAGTGCCCAGATATTCAGTCACACATTATTCTGGGTGTTTCCGTGCATTTTTGGATGAGTTTAACATTTGAAGTGATAGACTGAGTAAAGCGGATCGCCCTCCCTGATGTGGGTGGGCCTCATCCAATCCGTTCAAGGCCTGAGTAGAACAATAAGGCTGACCCTTCCCTAAATAAGGGGGAACTGCTCCTGTCTGACTGCCTTTGAGGTGGGACATCAGTTTTTTCCTGCTTTTAGACTCAAACAGAAGCATTGACTCTTCCCGGGTCTCGAGCCTGCTGGCCTTCAGACTGGAACTACACCGTCAGATCTCCTGGGTCTCCAGCTCGCCCACTGCAGATGTTGGGACTTATCAGCCTCCATAATCATGTGAGCCAAATCCATATGTATCCCCTTTCACTGGGCCAAGCTTCCTTGAAGGAAGGGGACCTGAACCTTATTTCTAGGTGTGCCATTTAGGGGACCTTGGGCAAATCCTTTCTCTTGGCTTACATCTGTCAACTGAGGGGGTGGCTGTGGATCATCTCAAAGGTCCATTCCAGCTCTGACCTGCTCAATCTCTGTAAACAATTTAGTGAGAGCCATTCACAAAAGGATGAAGGATTCATGATATAATAACAGCAGATAATATTTTGAAGGGTTAGGTTCTGCTTCTCTGGAGAACCCTGACTAACACTGAGGGTTGGATTGACATTCAGTATCGTGGTGAGGGTCTGTTTGGGTGTGAGAGTCAGAGTTATGGTGAGGGTGAGTGATGGTCAGTGCGAGGGTCATGGTGAGGGTTAAGTTGAGTGTCATGGTCATTGTTAAGGACAGGTTGGGTGACAGGATCAGAAGCAAGGTGAAGTTCTGTGCGGGGGTGAGGGTGAGAGTAATGGTGACAGTCTTGGTGAATGTCAGGGTCAGGGTGTGTGTGAGAGTCTGGGTCAAGATGAATGTGAGGGTGAGCTTGAGGGTCAGTTGGAGAGTGAGGGTGAGGTCAGGGTCAGGGTGAGGGTGAGAATGAGGATGATGGTGAGGGTCAGGTTCAAGACCAGATTGAAGGTGAGAGTTAGGGTCATATTGAGGTTCTGGATCAGAGTAAGTTGCCGTGTCATGATGATGGTGCATGTCATGGTGAATGTGATGATCAGGGTCAGAGTGAAAGTGAGGATTTAGGTAGCCAGTGCTGTAAGTTGAGGTGTAGGTGGTGATTGGGAATAGTGAGTGGGTACTAAGGGGGTGTGGAGCAGGGTGTAGGTATCAGGTATCTAAGGAAGTTAGGTCGCAGTGAGTGTCTGAGGGGGCAAGTGAGTGGGTGAGAAGGTTGTGAGTGGGTGGGGCTATAAGGGGCTATAAGCAAATGGGTACATAACCAGCAGTTATGGGACAGGAGGTAGGTACTGAGGGGGTGTGGGGCAGAAGGTAGGCAGGGAAGTGGACGTGGGGCTGAGGGTCTGTAGAGAGCTGGTAGGTAGTGTCTGTAAAAAGAGGGTTATAGGCAGTGAGTGGGTGTGGGGCTGGGAGTAGATTGTGAGCGTGGAATGGGAGGGATAAGTGGTCAAAAATAAGAAGAGTTGGATACTTCTGAGTACTTTTGTATATTTTGGAGTACTTTTGCAGGACAAGAGATTCTTTTGAGAACAATAAATGATTCTGAGCCGGTTTCACAATCTGAGATTCTTCTTAGTTTGCTCCAACTGGCCACAAAAAGGATCTTTAAGAGCAGTGTGTGAGTTTGAGCTTGCTTACACAAATACTGTTTTTGATTCATTATGATTCTCCCAAATAGCAATAAGAAATCTTCGAGTACTTTTTAAAAAAATTTGTTAAGAACAATATGTGATTTTTAGATCTTTTTCACATATACATTTTCCATTCATCTAAGCTCTAAGTTTGGTTGTGATAAGTGTGTGTTTCTCACCTTTTTTGGTCAGATAAAGCTTCCTTTCATCTCAGTTTATTCTAACAAGCAATAAGAAATTGAGTAGGTCTGAGCTTGTGTGCACCAGTACTGCTTTTTTTAAGAAATACAGCAATGTGTATGATACAGCTCAATATCACATCCTTCCCTCAACTATAACTTCTTATTTCCTTTAGAGTAATTGGTGAGAACTAGATGTTACAGATCACCAGTGATAACTAGACCACCATATAACTAGAACAACTAGAGTAAGCCAAGAAGCTCAAAAACGTAAACTCATCTCAACTCTAACTTCTTATACTTGCTGGAAGATCAGAAGTAGGGATAGGTAGAGATAACTAGATAACCAAGAATAACTAACAGAGTCTCGCACTAACCCTGATCCTGACACTAACCTGACCTTGAAGCTCACCCTCACACTCAGGCTCTCCCTCACCCTAACCTCACCTGCACCCTCATCCTCATTACCATCCTCACCCTAGCCTGGTCCCTCAGCCTCATTCAGACCCCAACCTCCACCCTGACTATGACCATGATTCTGACACTGACCGTAATCCGGACCCTCACTGTGAGTGTAAACCTGACTGTGCCGCTGACTCTCAGTCTGGCCCTTACCCTGACCCTCAGCCTGACAGGAACCTCGGCTCACTCTCATGCTCACTCTGATCCTAACCTTTATCTTGAAGCTCACGCTCACACTGACTCTGAACCTCACCCTCATACTCACCTCACCCTGACCCTACCCCCACCTCACTTACCCCACCGTCACCTTCAACCTGACCCTCACCCCTAGCCTTACCAGGACGCTGACCCAGATTTCATCCTCACCATCACCCTAAACCTCACCTTCAACTTCACTTGACCAACACTCTCACCCTCTCCCTGCACTCATCCTGACCCTTACCCTCACCATGATGCTGACCCTCACTCACCCTCACCCTCACCTTCAACATGACCCAGACGCTGACACTGACCACCCTCACACTCTGAACCCTGACCTTGACCTATCCTCTCACCCTAACACTGACACTGACCATACACTGACCCTGAACCTCATCCTGACCCAGATTATGAGCCCCTTGACCATGACCTGATCTGACTCTTATACTCTGAGCCAAGCTCACCTGGGCCCTAAACTTAAACTTCACCATCGTCCTTACCCTGACCCTGACCTGAGACCCTGACCCTCAGCCTGACCTCCACTCTGAAGCTGAGCTTGACATTCACCCTCACCATGATCACGACCCAGACCCTCACTCTCACCCTTATGCTGATAATTGTCACAGTAAGTATCTGTGTCAGGGTCATGGGAAAGGTAACATCTGGGTCATCCTTACACTGACATTGACCTTGGCATTCATGCTCACCCCGACACTGACTTTCACCCTGACCCTGACCCTGACCCTCCCTCTGACCCTGACCCTCCCTCTGACCCAGACACTTGTAGCTTTGACCTCTGAGGTCCAAATTCAGATCCAAACTCCAAGATCCAACTTGAAATCTGAGGTCCAGATCTAAGGTCTAGGTCCAGGTCCAAGGTCCAGGTTTTAGATACAGGTTCAAGCCCAAGGTTCAGATCTGAAGTCCAGGTCCAAAGTTCAGGTACTAGGTCCATAGTTTATTCACAACATCCAGTTCCAGGTCTCACTCCAAGTCCAGATTCAAAATTAGGTCCAGTGCAGACGTCTAGTGTCCAAGTTTAAGGTCCAGGTCCCAGGTCCAAGGTCCAGGTCCACAGTCTAGGGGCTATGGTTAACATTCAGGTCCAAATTACAGGTCCATCCTGGTCTCAGGCCCAAGGTCCCAGGTCCACTTCCAAGGTCCAGGTCCACATCCTGGCCCAAGATCCAATGGCTAAGTCTAGGGCCATGTCCAGGAGCAAGTTCCAGATCAAAGGTAAAGGCACAATGCAGAGGTCCAATGCCCAGGTCTAAGTTCAGCTCCCAAATCCTGGACAGATCAGTCTACCAGGCCGAACCAAGCTTGATTTCATTCATACTCTCGAATAGCTGTGCTCTAACTCACCCTAATCAGATATCATTGAGAAGAATGCGTCTGAACTTGCATCGCTCTAACGATAAATAGAAAGCTTCATTTGTACTGTATGAGTGGTACAGAGCTTGACTTCATGTAAAATGCCTAGTATGAACTCAGTTTGCTCTCCCTATAAATTATGTTTAGGAAATGTGGTAGTTAATTTTATGTGTCAATTTTGAGGGTTTTTTCCTGATGAAATTAACATTTAAATCAGTGAACTTTGAGTAAGCAGACAGCCTTCCATAATGTGGGTGGGCCTCATCCAATCAGTTGAAGGCCCAAATAGAACAAAAAGGCTGGCCTCCAAGAGCAATTCGGCAGGAAAAAGAAATAAAAGGAATCCAAATAGGCAACGAAGAAGTAAAACTCTCGCTGTTTGCAGACAACATGATCTTATATATAGAAAACCCCAAAGAATCCTTAGGAAAACTATTAGAAACAATCAGCAGCTACAGCAAAGTTGCAGGGTATAAAATCACATACATAAATCAGTAGCATTTCTATACGCTAACAATGAACTAACAGAAAAAGATCTCAAGAACTCAATCCCATTCACGATTGCAACAAAAAGAATAAAATACCTTGGGATAAATTTAACCAAGGAAGTGAAAGATCTATATAATGAAAACTACAAGACTTTCTTGAAAGAAATCGATGACGACATAAAGAGATGGAAAGACATTCCATGCACATGGATTGGAAGAATAAACATAGTTAAAATGTCCGTACTACCTAAAGCAATCTACAGATTCAATGCTATCCCAATCAGAACCCCAATGACATTCTTTACAGAAATTGAACAAAGAATCCTAAAATTCATATGGGGCAACAAAAGACCCCGAATTGCTAAAGCAATCCTGAGAAAGAAGAACAAAGCTGGAGGCATCACAATCCCTGACTTCAAAACATACTACAAAGCTACAGTAATCAAAACAGCATGGTACTGGTACAAAAACAGGTGCACAGATTAATGGAACAGAATTGAAAGCCCAGAAATAAAACCACACATCTATGGACAGCTAATCTTCGACAAAGGAGCTGAGGGCATACCATGGAGAAAAGAAAGTCTCTTCAACAAATGGTGCTGGGAAAACTGGACAGCCACATGTAAAAGAATGAAAATCGACCATTCTTTTTCACCATTCACTAAAATAAACTCAAAATGGATCAAAGACCTAGAGATTAGGCCTGAAACAATAAGTCTTCTAGAAGAGAATATAGGCAGTACACTCTTTGACATCAGCTTCAAAAGAATCTTTTCGGACACCATAACCCCTCAGATGAGGGAAACAATAGAAAGAATAAACAAATGGGACTTCATCAGACTAAAGAGCTTCTTCAAGGCAAGGGAAAACAGGATTGAAACAAAAAAACAGCCTACTAATTGGGAAAAAATATTTACAAGTTATTTATCCGACAAAGGGTTAATCTCCATAATATATAAAGAACTCACACAGCTCAACAACAAAAAATCAAACAACCCAATCACAAAATGGGCAGAGGACATGAACAGACATTTCTCCAAAGAAGATATACAGATGGCCAATAGACACATGAAAAGATGCTCATCATCACTAATCATCAGGAAAATGCAAATCAAAACTACACTAAGATATCACCTTACACCTGTTAGAATGGCAAAAATATCCAAAACCAAGAGTGACAAATGTTGGAGTGGCTGTGAAGAAAAAGAAACCCTCATACACTGTTGGTGGGAATGGAAACTGGTGCAGCCACTATGGAAAACAGTATGGAGATTTCTCAAAAAGTTAAAAATAGAAATACCTTATGACCCAGCCATCCCACAACTAGGTATCTATCCTAAGAACCTGAAATCAGCAATTCCAAAAGTCCCATGCACCCCTATGTTCATCGCAGCGTTATTCACAATAGTCAAGTCATGGAACCAACCTAAGTGCCCAGCAACTGATGATTGGATAAAGAAGATATGGTATATATATACAATGGAATACTACTCAGCCATAAAAAAGGACAAAGTCGTCCCATTTGCAACAAAATGGATAGACCTTGAGGGTATTATGTTGAGTGAAATAAGCCAGACAGAGAAAGACGAACTCTGTATGACTCCACTCATAGGTGGTAGTTAACATATAGACAAAGAGAACTGATCGGTGGTTGCCAGGGGAAAGGGGGGTTGGGAGAGGGCACTAGGGGTGAAGTGGTGTACCTACAACATGACTAATAATGATGTACAACTGTAATTTCACAAGGTTAACTATCATAATCTTAATTTAAAAAATTTTTTAAATAAAAAAAAAAAGCTGGCCTCCAGAGCAAGAGGGGATTCTCCAGCAGACTGCCTTCGCACTGGAACCGCACTATCGGCCCTCCTAGATCTCTGGCCAGCCAGCCCATGGCAGATTTTGGATTTGCCAGGCTCCATAATTGCGTGAGCCAATTCTTTACAGTAAATCTCCACATATACAACTACACATACACACACACACACACACACCCCCTATTGGTTCTATTTCTCTGCAGAACCCTGACTAATACAGAAAGAAGGATAGATTCTGAGCTTGTTTGACATAAACAGCTTAGTTTCATCTCACTCACAATGAGACCTTTTGTTAGAAATGTTCCTGAACCTGAACCTGGACCTTAGTTGAAAGTGTTGTTTCTTGCCTGTTTTCCGCTATTCAGCTTAGTTTCATATAGATTTTGTCTAAGTCACCATAGGAAGTTACTGTAGATATGAATGTATGATTCTGACATTGTTGTCACTTAAACTGCTTAAGTTCATCCCAATTTGTTGTAAGCCACAAAAATAAGGAAATTTAGAGAACAATGTGTGACTGTAAGTGTATTTTCTCTGAAACTGCTTAGATTTGTGTAATTTGGCTCTAACTCACTTACATTCGCTCTCTCTCACCGTTTCACCCTTCTGAAGAGGGCCGTCTCTGGTTCTCAGCTTGTCTACAGATGTACTGCTTGTGGTACAGAGTTTCATCTCTATTTCCACTAACATAATAAAGTATTTTCAAGGACAAGGGCTGCTTCTGAGCTAGGCTTCACCAATACTGCTTAGGTTTACCTTAAGCTAGTTTAATGTATAAAGTTTATATATCATTTCTGAAGCTTATAAATTTCATTTATAATGGGCGAGTGATTTTGAGCTTGATTTCACATATACTGCCTGATTTAGACTAGCTACACTCTAACTCTCTAAGAAGTTAGCTACTTTTGAGAACACTGTCTAATTCTGAGCTGTTCTTAGTAATATGCTGCTTAATTTTGACTATTTACACTCTAAGTCACCTTAAGGAGAAGGGGAACCAGCAGGAAACTGGGCTAGGAAGATCACCAGTTGGCTCATGTCCCAGCAATTCTGTCACAATTCACAATTCACAATTCTTGTGAATGTGGAGACTTGTCTCCTGTGGGACAAGTAGGGATTCTGACTATGGGGCAAGTGGCACATCGGCACATACACAGCAGAATATTGGGTACAGTCACTGGCAGCACAGGTTGGCATTAGGCTCTGCAGCTGAAATGGGGACTCTGCCTCTGCAAGGGGGGTTGGAACTTAGGCTTTGGGGCCAGCAGTGGGCTCTTATCCTCTGCAGACAGAAGCAGGGGCATAGGCTCTGGGGTGAGAGGTAGTGACTGCCTGTTAAGCCGAGATCCAGACTCGGTCTCTGGAGGGGGGAGTGTGGGCCTAACCTCTGGGGAGAGCTCTGCAGACTTAGCTGCTAGATGGAGAAGCAGACTTAAACCAGAGTGCAGGAAGGGAGATATAACCTCTGGGGCAGGAGGTGACCTCTGCAGCCAACTGGGACTCAGCCTCTGTACCTGGAAGTGTGGACTTAGCCAGAGGGGCATGAGGTGGGGACTCAGCCTCTGGATGGAGAAGTGGGTGGGAGAGGGACCTTAGCCTCTGAAATGGGAGATGGGCGCTTAGCTTCAGGAGCTGCAATCTGGACTCAGCCTCTGCAGGAGGAAACAGGGACACAGTTGCGGGTGGTCTCAGTCAAAACCGCTCCTGTCGTGGGAGAAGAGCCACCTCTGTGCCCGGTCTGCGGAGCTCCCCCTAGGGACGGAGAGAAGCAGGAAATTTTTAGGTGAATGTGTTTCTGAGCTTGTTTGCACATGTGAAGTTTACAAAGTACTTGAGAAGCTTGTAAGATTTGTTTGAAATGAATGAGTGATTTCACATGAACTCTTAGATACACTCTGAGTCCCTCTAAGAAGGTCCTTCTGAGGACGCTTGAGTCTGCACTTGTTCCAATATCAGCTGTTACGTGTGAATTACCTCTGAGCAGCACCAACAAGTTTCATTGGAAATGAATGAGTGATTTTGAGCTTGATTTCACCTAAAATGCTTAGTCTTGACTATATTTACTCTAATTCCTCATAACAAGGTAGATTAAAGAATAATTACATATTCCCTAATACTGCTTAGATTTCTCTAAATTGGTTCTAACTCATTTTTATTTGATCTCCCACCACTGGAAGCTTCCTTAGAGGGGAATGCCTGACTCTTAGCTTGCTTACAAACGTACTGCTCGTTTGGACACATCGTTTAGCTTCATCTTCATTTTCACTAACAACACAATAAGATACTTTTGATTTGCCTTACAGATGAATGTGCACTGTGACACTCTTTTACTTAACCTAATTCATTGGCTCGAGTTTGCGCTAATATAGTGCTTTTGAAGTGACTGTGTTTCTGAGCTTTTTTTCACATAAAAAAATTTATATAGCACTTTAAAACTCATACATTCTATTTTAAATGAATGATTTTGAGCTTGATTTCACATAGACGCAATTTGTTCTCATTCCTCTTAAGAAGTTAGGTTTAGGAATACTACTTAGATTTATGCTAATTTGCTCTAACT